ATTCAGCCGCTGTTGAAACTGATCAGTTTCAGCAGCGGCTGAATCTGGATGCCAGTTCCGACTTACATACAGATTCAACTTAAGAACAAACCTACAGTCCCTATCTTGTACGTAACCCGGGGACTGCCTGTATCAGGAAACTAACTCCCCCCACTTCCAGTCTTGCGTCAGATGAGGCTGAGTTAGCATATGACTTCTGGTTAAGGTGCATCCTCTTCAGGGGCAAGATTAAAGCTCTGCAAGTAGCTGGAGGCTATTTGAGAAGATTCTTGTCTGAACTGGAGCTATCACTGCCGTGAAGGAGTTTACATGCACCGCATGAAGGCTGAGACCTTCAGCTTTTTCAATATTAATGGTGCTGAACTAAGTCTGGAAAGCACTATAGCGTGTCCTGTAAGCTGCCTTTTACGTTCTCAGAACAGGTGGGGGAAGAAACTCAAGTGCCTATGTATCCAGTTAGAAATATTCACTGGCAGAGAAGCTGATACATGGTGATACCACTTTAAAACTTTCTGCTCTAATTATGCACCTTCCCTGGGATAAGCCCAGTGCCATCCAATGTGATGAAACAGAACTGAACTTGCTTCTCCAGTCGCAGGACCTGTCATGAGAAGCTTAACCAACATCTAACAGCTTCTTCACCTATATTAGGACACATTGTTGTGGTTAAACAAGGAATTTCTTTACTTACATTAATTTATAAAGAAATCAGCTAGTCAGGTCATTGTGTTAATGTAGAACCATGGAACTTCCATTGAAAACAAGGATTTCTATGAATCTGCTGTCCCTTCCCAGTTTCCTTCCTAGAGTCGAGGGGAGCTGCGAGTACCAAGCACATATCAAAATTCAAACAGGAGGGGGTCAAAGTTTGGGGGCTGAATGAAAGGAAATTGTTTAAGCTATTGGGGGGTATGTTTGCACTGCAGAGGTTTTTTTTGGAAAAACATCTTTTTCCAAAAACACCAGTTACGTCCATACTGTAATTGTGTTCATTCGAAAGAATGGGGCTTTTTCTGACACTGGTGATCCTCTTTCTACGAGGAAGCAGCCTTTTTTCTGAAAAACTAAGGCATGTTTGGACAGGAAAAATGGAGTTCTTTTGAAAGAGGAAAACGCACGGGTGCGCTGCTGGCCCCTCCACCCATAGTGATCACAGCTTAAATGCGAGAGAGCACCCATCATTCAAAAAAGCAGATTGCTTTTTCAATGCACTTTTGGGCTGCGTCTAGACTGGCATGATTTTGCAGAAATACTTTTAACTGAAAAGTTTTTCCGTTAAGTATTTCCACAAAAAGAACGTCTAGATTGGCACGGATGCTTTTGCGCAAGAAAGCTCCGATGGCCATTTTAGCCATTGGGCTTTCTTGCGCAAAAAATTAAGGTGCCTGTCAACACTGGCCGTCTTGCACAAGTATCCTCTGTGGCAAGAGGGCTTATCCCTGAGCAGGAGCGTCAAAGTATTTGTGCAAGAAGCACTGATTTTGTACATTAAAGTCAGTGTTCTTGCACAAATTCAAGCAGCCAGTGTAGACAGCTGGCAAGTTCTCGCGCAGAAGCAGCTGCTTCTGTGCAAAATTTTGCCAGTCTAGACGCACCCTTGCTGTGTAGATGCTCTCTTTCGGAAGAAGCTTTCTCAGAAGATCTCTTCCAAAAGAAGCCTGCAGTCTAGATGTAGTGTGAGCTTAACAGCTGTGGGGTTGAGGGCAAGAGAACAGTACATGCTCCCTTTTTGCTCAAGAGTTTTTCTCTAGCTAATCTGGCTATCCAAGTGCAGAGGCTGCCATAATGATTTTAGTCTGGCCCAGTGGCATAGCTACAGGTGGGCCTGCATGGTCCATGGCCCACCCACCCATACAGGCTGGGGCTGACACCCTGGCCCCTGGGGCTCTTGCACACTCCAGCCAGGGAGCAGGACGGGGATGCTGGGGCTAACCCTTGTTCACCAGTGCTCCAGATGGGGAATAGGGCCAGGGCCTGGGCTTACCACCCTCACCATTGCCTGTCCTCCCAAACTGGTCCTTCTGGCTACACTTCCCCTCTAGGCGAGCAGGCAGTCAAGACCATTAGTAAAGTCCTGCTAATGTGTGGATCTCCAGTTATCTGTGGCCACAGTTGGGGGTGTAGAGATCCATGGCTTATTTTTGCAGATACAAAATTTGTATGTAGAACCCTACAAATCTGCAGATAGCTGCCGCTCATTTTTGCAGATATGGATGTGGATTCAAATTTTGTATTCGCATAGGGCTCTAACCGTTGGTTAGTTCCCCCCCCCCTTTTTTTTTTTAATCAATTCTACCACACTCAGGAGACAACAGGCAGGATGATGGTGATTTAGTCAGGCTTCTCTCTCCCACTAGAAGCTGGGGGGAGCACAGAGGTTCTGAATCAAGTATATATCAGCCTTCCTGAAGTCTTGCTGCAAAAAGAAACTGAACCCATTCAGCCCACGGAGAGATCAGTGTACTCCCCACTGCACTGTTGTGCTCAGAGACTGTCAGCTTCATACTGTGCTCTGCCCATGGATGCACAAAGAGGGGCATTTAAATAGGAAAACTGGAGCCACGGAGCTGAAGAAAGCATCTATAATGAAACAGGTCTTGAAGTACCATTTTCCATTCTGCAGCAGAATCCACTGTCTCAAGAGGCTGTACTCAGAGCAGCAGTGCTAAGCCAATGCTAGCTCAGCCACAGCTAGGTTTAACATCTGGACAGATCATCCCAAGTCCAAAACAAGGTCTGGATTGGTAGATGTTATGAAGAGATAGACTCTGCGGGATAAATCTGTTCCAATGCGCCGTTCTCTCCTGTTATCTTCTGCTTTTACCCGAATGTCACTCAGCAGGAGGAATCTATCCTTCTCTGTGCTGCACTCTTCATAGGCCTTAGAAGAAACAGGAGAACAAATTGGTGTAGGCAACACATACACATAAAATTCTATGGCATATGACAGAGCCACTGTGGAAGAAGGGGCAGGGCTCGGTTCAGAGGATAAAGTCATCAGGAAGAATTTTTGCTCAAGATCACCCCCAATTCCCCAAACAACTGATGTGTATTCCATTCTCTATGTTTCCAAAGCAGCGTTTGCCTGAGACAATGCTAACCAGGGTGAGGTGAGCAGGGAAGAGGAAGCATGTATTTGGCAAAAGGACTAGAGATGCTTTTAATTGTAAGTTCTGCCTCACTTGATCCTTGCTATCTCCTCCCTCTCCTTTGCTTGGATTGTTAGAGCCAACTGATTGCCAAGGAGGCTGGTGTAGAAATCAGACATTTAAAAATGATCGCAAAGAAAAGCATTGGATGTAGCACTGGAAGATCCACTGACCAAGCCAGGCCAGAGGTGAGACTAGACATAAGGCAGAGGGGAGTCTTGGGCTAGCTGGGCCACTGGGCACACTGTCAGCAATTACTGAAATGGCTCCTTAGTGTGATCATTAAACCCCAGTGATGTGGGAACAATTTTTACAGTGAAAGAGCTGACAGCCACTGAACCAAAGGGTAAGCCTTGGATATAACGGAAACCACTTCAAGCCAGGGCCTGCTCCCTTGGTTCCAGCACTTGCATTAAACCCTCCTGTTTGCAGATACGGGCATTTTGGAATCCCGTGTTATACAAGCTGTGTCCACTGATGGTCCCACCTCCATCAGACAGGGATTTTCCACTGGAAGGGAGTAGACCTTGTCCTGCTCTAGAAAAGTTCTCTACCCATGCCTTCACTTCATTAGCTCTGCAGCAGGGTTTTAACCCATTGCTAAGTGGCTCAAGGGCTTACCTGAAGCAGTAGGCTTGGGGAAGGATATGCTGCTGCTATGGCTCCTGCCACAACAGGGCTGACTCTGTTAAACTGCTTGATTTGTCTCTTCCACAGCTGTTTCAGTCCCGTGCCATCCTTCTCTACTCGTATACTGCTGGGCCAGCCCCCATCAGTGCAGAAGGAGAATAGTTGAGTCTTCAGCTGTTTCCTGCAGGAAGACAAATGCAGGGATACGAAAAAGTGATGCATGTCTGGGAGATCACATCTTGCCTGCAGCCTCTGTAATTGGGTTTCTGGCTGGTCCACCTCTTCCTCCAGGACCAGTATTTTATCTCCATTGGCTCACATTACTCTTCCTCCTGTTGCTAAGAGGGCAAGTCCTACTGTCATCTAACATTCCTCAACTGGATCTTATTTCTCAGCCTACTCCTCTTATCCCACCTCCACAAACAATGCTATTCCTAGATGGCAGAGCACAGTGTACCATGTGTGTGAATGGCAACCGAATCATCATACAGGGCCAGTCATGAAATGAACATTCCTACATCCAGTCTACTCTGAACATCTGATAGGAGACAACCTGGGTCCTCCCCCTCTACATGGAGCCTCTTGAAATACCATGGCACTGAGTTCAGCCTCAGGCTTTCTCTATGAGGAGCAACATCAACCATGCTCCCACCATATGTCAGAGCTTCAACCAGAACAAAGAGTGAGGCTGATGTTCTGGGTTTGGGGTTCAGCTGAGGATTAGGAGTTGAGAGCTGCTGCCTGGGTGACACAAACTCACTTATATGGACGTTTTGCTATTGCCTTGGTCAGCGCAGAAACATGTTGGCTCAACTCATGCCACGTGTCCAGGAACAAGACCTCAGTGTTACCCCAGAGCTGCAGCACCACCAGGCCCTGGAGGAGGAGGAGAACTAAAATTAGAGAAACATGCAAGACCCAAAGCAAAGTGATCCCAAGCTGAGAGCAGGCTTGGAAATGCCAGCCACAAGCAAGGACACCTCCCGAAAGGCCCTCGCCCTGCTCAGACTTCCAGCTGGCAGAAGCAGCCTCTTAAAGGTCCCACTCTGCCCCTGAGAAAGGGAGGAGCAAGGAAGGAAAACATACATCTGGACACTAAGAGGCCCTCCTCAAGCTTATACTGGGATCGGCTAAATGCATTATCTCTGATCACACAGCACAGCAGCAAAGCCTGCTCAACCCCTATTAGTTCCCACTAAGCCTGAGAGTCATAACCCCAAGAAGCAGGTCAGCAGTTTAGAGCCCACCTTCCCTTCAGCTGCCTGGTCTATTTAGACTGTATGTGCTCTGGGGCAGGAATTGACTCTTGCTCTGAAGATGTGTAGGATGCAATGGGACTCCGATCCCCGCTGGGGCCTGGAGATGGTAATGACGAGTCCCAGGGCCCAGTCACAAAATATCTGCCTAGGCACTGTATTATTTTAGCTGGCACCGCAAGAACATGGCACAGGTACAAAGAACACACTGAGGGCCATTGCAGAGTCGACAGTTGCCAACTACCCCAGGCATCTCCTATTGAAAATACTGATGAAAGGGTCTGGCTTGACCTCTCTCGAAAGCAGAGGCCTCAACTGGTAGGTTCAAGAGGGGCAGATGCAGGAGCAGTGCAGGATTCACCCATGATGCTCTTTGTCAAACTCCTTCACAGCCCCATCCCAGAGGGTGAGAGGAAAGTGGAGTCTCTATGTTCCTCAGCCCTTGGTCTCTGATGAAACTGACAGCAAAGAAGGGCACTAGGATGTTTGCTTTCATAACACAAAAGCTTGGACATTAAGCCTGGGTCTGAGCTTGACAATTCCTTTTACACAGGCCACTGCATACTAGGGCTGTGTCTACACTGACACGATCTTGCACAAAAGCGGACTCTCTTGCTCAAGAACGTGCTGCCTGTCTACACTGGCTGCGTGTTCTTGCGCAAGTAAACTGACGTTCTAATGTATAAAATCAGGGCTTCTTGCACCAGAACTCTGATGCTCCCGCTCAGGAAGAAGCCCTCTTGCGCAAGAGCTCTTTCAGAAGAGGCCAGTGTAGACAGGCAACATGAATTTCTTGCGCAAGAAAGCCCTATGGTTAAAATGGCCATCAGAGGTTTCTTGCGCAAGAGAGTCTACACTGGCATGGATGCTCTTGCGCAAAAGCACATCTCTTGTGCAAAAGCACATGCAAGTGTAGATGCTCTCTTGTGGAAGAGTTTTTGCAGAAGAACTCTTCAGCAAAAGAGTTTTTGCATGAGAACGCGCCAGTGTAGACATAGCCTAGTTGGGGTGTTTGAGCAAGGGGTGTGGACTCTGCCAACCTGGACCAGAACTAAGCCAGTATCCACAGAATGAGAAGCTCCAAATCCTCACTACCAATCTCCTGAGTATCCCTGTTCCTCCCCAATCCCTTTGCCAGTAACACCTATGAGTTTTCCAAGGGGGAGGAGAATGTCTGGTTCAGGAGAGCTGTCACCTCTCCTAGCAGGCATGTCCCTGAGTGCTCTCACACAGCTACAGCTCCCATGTCCTCAAGCAACATTAGAGTTCAAAGCCTGTAGTTTGTTCACCTCCTCTAGCTCTTGCTGCGTCATAGACAACTCTGGGCTGAGCTGGAATCTGAGGTCCTTGTGTCTGCTCTGCTCTTCAGGTGTCAGTGCCGACTGCTTGTCCTGATGACTGTCATACCTAAGTAGAAGCAACACTCATCTCACACATTCTCCCCTGGCCCTCCCTTGGCATAGTCATGTCTTAATTATGTACTGACTAGATAGACTCCTGGCAGAACCAGAAGTCCTGTTTTACCCTCCCGCATCTGCCAGCTCCTCCTGCCATAAGCCAGAGAAAGGGAGGGGTGAAGGAAGCATTTTAGTTTTGAGTCATGCCCTCCAACCACATACTGAAGACAAGAAAGACCTCCATTTGATTCTGTTCCTCCATTAGACTATCCATCCAACACTGTGCAGTGCTAAACCTCCACCTCTCCTTTTGGTCTCACATAGGGATGGGCTGAGTAGCCACCATTTGGGATATAGGACCATTCTGAGTACCAGCACGTGGACCAGAATGGCCAGTCGGAGGGAGCGAGGGGGACAAGCAGCAGGCAGGGAAAATGTAGCCTGGTTCATGGGAGTTGTCCTAGGTGCCCTCACGTGAAAAGATGCCAAGGAATGCTGTTGCTTGGGAGCCCTCCTCAGAGGGTTATCTGGAATGGTGTAGGCAGAGACCTCAGCCACTGTAGTGGCCTTCACAATGTGTAAAGATTTGCTCTCCCTCCATTATACGCAAGGCTACAGCTGACCTAAAACAGCCTTCACGGTGTGTCTGCATGAGTATGGAACAGAGAGTCACATGAGTATCTATGTGACTAGGATGTCCTCCCAGGAAAGCCACTGACCAGCAACTTCACAAGGTGCCGAGAAAGGCTGGATCCAGTGAAGGCATGCACCCCAATTGTAAGCAGGAGCTCAGGGGAGCTTGCTAAAGCTCAGGATTAGTGAGTAGGGAGGACACCACAGCCTGTGCTGGTGTCCAGTGCAACTCCAGCCAGATTCGCCAGGCAACTCTGCCATTCCATCACGACCCTCGGCTTTGAGGAGCGGCAAATCACTGGGCTTAAAAATGCCCCATTTTCTGCAGTACAGTTGCAAAATGGCCCTCTTGCCCCTTGCAATGCAATACACTGTTGCTTGAGGCCAGGTGTACATCTGAGAACATGCATTTCTTTGCACAAGCATGTTTCTCACACATACAATGCCTGCTATGTGATACAGTGAGCTGCTGGCACGGCATGGTTTTTTGCAGCTACAATTTAAGCACTAAGATTTGAAGTTTATCCCTATATGTCTCTCTTCTGAAGATAGCCTCTTCCACATTCACTTATGTGAGCTTTCCAGCCACCTACTACGCAGATCATACCATGTGTAGGCGCAAAGTCCAATGACAGCCAGGCTGTAGGATTTTAGGGAGGGGCCCTCCAAACAGTCCAAAGGCAACAACTGGCTCAGATCAGGCCTGTTCCCTGATGGGGCTTCTCTTAAACTCTGAAACAAAACAAGCAAATCACAAATCTCTTTCTTCCTTCTCAACACCAAGTGAATGATGGTGTAGTGGGAGAACTGCGAGGTCAGCCTAGTCACTGGGAACAGATGGTAGCTTGGGCAGGGATCAGCTCTGATCTTAGTTTGGCTGCTGGAATGCAAGGCCACTGTGTCCTTTCTGCAAGCTGTACCCAACACTTGTTATAATCCCAAATTCCTCCCTCCTGTTCACCTTTTTGTTTATGCTTCCATCACTGATCTCCTCTTGAGCAATGTCTGTTCCAGCGTTCAGTTTTCTATAGCACCTGCCTGAATGTGATTGTTAACGCCCCAGGGTAGGGGCCTTATTTTCTTGGGACTATAGAAATAAAAGGCCACATGGGGCTTTTCACTAGGTGACTGGGCAACAAAATGGCAGATTAATTTTAACATTGATAAATGCAAAGTAATGTACATTGGAAAAAAATAATCCCAGCTATACATACAAAATGATGGGGACTAATTTAGCTATAACTACTTGAGAGAGAAATCTTGGAGTCATTGTGGATAATTCTCTGAAAACATCCATTCGATGTGCAGCAGCAGTCAAAAAAGCAAAGAGAATGCTAAGAATCATTAAAAAGAGTTAGCGAATAAGACAGAGAATATCTTACTGTCTCAGTGTAAATCCATGATACACACACATCGTGAATACTGCATGCAGATGTGGTCGCCTCATCACAAAAAAGATAATCTCGGCATTGGAAAAAGTTCAGAAAAGGGCAACTAAAATTATTAGGATTTTGGAATGGCTGCCATATGAGGACAGATTAATAAAACTGGGACTTTTCATCTGAGAAAAGAGAAACTAACTGGGATTATGATAGAAATCTATAAAATCATGATCAGTGTGGAGAAAGTAAATAAGGAAAACTTATTTACTTGTTCCCATAACAGAAGAACTAGGGGTCACCAAATAAAATTAATAGGCAGCAGATTTATAACAAACAAAAGGAAGTATTTATTCACAAAACACACAGTCAACCTGTGGAACTCCTTGCCAGAGGATGCTGTGAAGGCCAGGACTTTAACAGAGTTCAGAAAAGAGGTAGATAAATTCACAGATAGGTCCATCAATGCTTATTAGCCAGGATGGGTAGGAATGGTGTCTGTAACCTGTTTGTCATAAGCTGGGAATGAGTGACTGGGAAGAGATCACTTGATGATCACCTGTTATATTCATTCCCGCTGAGACATCTGGCATTGGCCACTGTTGGAAGACAGGATACTGGGTTAGATGGACCTTTTGTCTGACCCAGTGTGGCTGTTCTTACATGTTCTTATCAATAACTAGTTGCACATCTCTTTTGTTTCCAAAGATTATGCTTCTCAAATTGTGTGCTTTGAAAGTTTCCTTTGTGCAAATATTTGAAGCATGGCTCTGAGTATGCAAACACTAACACATACAAAGTGATGGATTTGGCTAAAGCAACAGTCTGTCAGAACTTCCACTGCTCTGCTCAATAAGATGCACTATGCTCAGACAGGCTTTGTATATTCTACTCCACAGCTCTCTATTCACATTTGTGCATTCTGTAATATAACTCTAGAATAACTCCCTTCCACTTGTGTTACTGTTAAAAGGCAGCTTTCCCCAGACTTCTCTTTAGACCCAGATTTGAAAATGTACTCTACCTGAGTTACAGACAAAAGACGTTTGAGAAAGTCCCTTGGATCTACCAGCAGCACCACCTCATTTTCCTCTTCGGACTTCACCAGGGTATCATCCTAGGGGAACAGAAACAACTTCTGATAGGATCTAGGCAATCACTTTTCATTTCTTGAAACCAAGCATGCCCAAAATGAAATTAAGTTGCCAGGTCTCAGCCCAGTTATACCATCTGGAATGGAATGACGTAATGGCTGAAGTTAGACCTGTAAAAGGCAGATAACATAAATACAGAGCACTGAGGGTGCAGAGAACAGAGCAGGACAACTACAAAATTCATCAACCTAGATAGAGATGTTCAAACTGGACTTGGCTGTACTGCAGCCTGTGTTATCACCTAATTTAGCTCATTGGAGATATTCAGAAAGGGGAAGACCCCATCAAGGGGAGAAAGTAAGCAAAAGATTCACACTACATCTGCACTGCACACCATATCAGTGAGTTACAGCAGTGCTTCTCAACCAGTGGTATGAGTACCCTTAAGGGTACGCAAGAGAAGTCGGGGGGGGGACGTTAACACAACTGAAATTTGGAGAAAACTTAATTTTTGTTTTAAGTTTTACAGCGCTTTATTATTTTTGTACTTTTTACACCCAAAAATGTCATCGCCTGCCTAGCTACAATTAAGTTATTTAAACAAATGTGTTGCAATGGTAGAAAAAAATGTGTGTGTCTGAGTGTGTGTGTGTGTGTGTATTTTTTTAAAGGGGCTACTCATAATTATTTTTTTTGAAAAAGGGGTATAAAAATTTTTGTATAAAAAAAAGTTTGAGAAACACTAAGTTACAGCACCAGCCAGCTCTTATACCCCAAAACATTTAAAACTCTGGTCATCTGAAGAAGTGGGCAGTGCCCACAAAAGCTCATGATCCCATCTACATGCTTTGTTAGTCTATAAAGTGCTACCAGACCATTTTTTAAAATGTATCCTGTACACTGTACAGACTACCTTGGCTACCCCCTGAAGCTTCTGAACATTTAAAGGGTTACTCAGACAACCAGTCATCAAAGTACAGGATTGCTCTCAACTCAGCAACCTGAAATCCTTGTAATGGACATGGGAATAAACAATGGTGCTGCACTGACCATTGCAGTTTATCTGCAACATTCCTCATTTGGCATCAAACAGAAGGTAACTTCACTCCTTAGGATTTCCAACAGCCTGCATTCAGAAACAGCCACAGGATTTTCTAAAGAGCTCACGGGCTTCCTTTAGTAGCAAGGGAGCCTACTGTTTTCCCCAGTGGTGCAGTTCAAATCATCATTGGCCATCAAGGACGCCTCGCAGACACAGAATTCTTTTTAGAAATCTTTTTCAACTAGTTATCTGAAACCTCTCCATGATCAATGGCTCCCCTGACCTCCATCCTTTTGGCTGCAGACATTCACAGTCCTTCCTGGATGTGTATGTGTTTGAGAAAATGACAACCAGTTGCATGAAAGTCACTCACTCAGAAATAAACTATAGGTCAATGAGACTCAAGTCCATTCCCTGAGCTACCAGTGACCTGAGACTGATGACCCCGTAGCCCCGCCCAGAAAGACAAGTGGAAATGCCCGCACTAATAATTAATGCAATTCAAAGCTCCTTTCCCACAGCATAGCTGTTATCAGTTTAAAAGTATAAAGCAGATGAGGAAGCCCTCCAGAGAGTGAGGACAGATTGGATTCAGATACTTACAACACTGGAGAAACCGTTAGGAGTGTTTCGCCTCCAGGTTATGCTGCAGGGCACTTCCTGAGGCTCAATGTAGTAGTTACATTCCAAGGAATCAAAAGCCTTCATCAAAGCATCTGACCCAGGATCTTCTAATAGACCTGAGGGGAAAGAGAGCCCCTGAGGAGGTCAGAGAAGGGGGTCTCCACCCACATGCTGTCCTTGCCTGTGGACACCACTCCAGCAGCTCCCATTGATCAATAATGGAGAGCTGTAGCCAGTGGAGGCTGTGGGGCTGGTGCCTGTGGACGGGAGGACAGCACATGGAGCCACTGCTTCTGGGGGTGGTTGTGGGGCCAGAGCAGGGGTGGGCCTGCCTTGGCTCCATTGCCAAGGCAGTGACCTCAGAGAAGGAAAGGGAGTGGTAATAAACAGTAACTAAAAGCCACACAAAGGAAATGATTGTTGTAAAATCCTGACTGAATATGAAGAAAGTAAATAAGGGAGTATTGTTTGCTCCTTTTCATAATACAAGAACTAGGGGTCACCAAATGAAATTAATAGAGCAGAGTTTGGAACAAACAAAAGGAAGCATTTCTTCACACAATCCACAGTCAACCTGTGGAACTATTTGCCAGATAATGTAGTGAAGGTCTGTCACAGGATTTAAAAAAAAATGCGATATATTCACTGAGGATAGGTCCATCAATAATTATTAGCTAGGATGGTGTCCTTGGCCACTGCTGACCAGAAGCTGGAAATGGGCAACAGAGGTTGGATCACGTAATGGTTACCGGTTCTGTTCATTACCTCTGGGGAACCTGGCCCTGGCCACTGTCAGAAGACAGGGTACTGGGCTAGATAGACCGAGGATGGCTGTTCTTATGATTATTTCAAGCTTGAATACTGAATAGAGCAGTATGCTGCATATCACCGCATTATCTCATAGAGAAATTTGCAGCACACAATTTATTACAACCAGCACATGCAGGGGCACTTACAATTAATTTTGCCTTACTCTTCCTGTTAAAAGACCCTATTTACAGTTGTTTGTAACTTTGCCAATCTTAAAGCATACAGAGATGAAATTTTCCACCTCTGGAGTCTGTCTCAAACTGACTTTATAATGGGAAGTTTCAGCAAAAATAGTTTAGACACTTCCAAGAACAAAACTAGGAAAAATGCATTGTTTACCCATGTTAGAAATGTTCCTATAACCATTTTAATTGGGATGCTTGTATGTCCTCATCCTTCATCACAGGGACTTGAAATTTTGTAAGAGAGTTACTCTACGTGTCAGGGATGGACATGCCTTTTGTTATCCTGTGAAAATTCACCTAATCTGCCCAAGTCATAAACCTCCAAAAAAGTCACAATTAGCACATGTTCAGGAGAGACTTGCCTGTGTTTAGCACCTAAGAATGTCCAAAGATTCCATCTGCCTTGAGCATGCTTCATCTCCTCACTGCTCCTACATGCCAATGACCTACGCACATGCCATCATTGTGGAACAACTGAGCATGCTGCCTTTTGTCTGTTGCTGACCTGCAACTGTTGTGGGACACTGTGCCATAGGAACTAAGCTTTGTTTCCCCTGCTGGCAGCCAGCAAAAAGGAGGGAGAGGAACCCACTTGACTCTAATGCAGAGGGGAGAGAAAAAAGAGAGGGGACAGAGGCAGGAGCAGAGTAGGAGGGGAAGATAGGCATATAGGGGATATTGGCCGAAACTGGGAGGAAAACAGGCAGGAACTAGAAAGAATAGCATCAGGAGGTGAAAGGGGCTTGAGTTGGGGAGGGTTAACAGAAAAGTTGGAGAAGACCCAGACAGAAGAGTTACCAATAAAATATAACCACTAGAGAATGCTCTCTTACAAAGCCTGCAACTGAACCTATTATTCCTGAATCTCAGCATTCCTCTATTGTCCGGAAAATAGCTGTAAAACCCACCAGCAAAGTGGATCTCCATCCCCCTCTACTGGCAAGTCCAACTGAAGATACAGCCTTCTCCTGGAATCAGTTACTCTGTTAGCTTAACTAGTAGTGCACTGTTCTTTTAAACAGGGAGGAAGGAGAGAAATACATTGTGGGAGGCTGACGTACACAGAACCATTCATGACAATATTTTTGTCCCATCAGGCATTGGGCACCTAATTCAAATGGGCTGCAGAACCGGTGGAATAGCTACCCACAGTGTATTGCTAGTATGGCTGAAGGTAGCTTTGGTAGTGGGGTTGCATTCTGTTGACTTCATTTGCCTACTGAGGACATGCACCTTCGACTTTGTAAAATCAAATGCTAAAAGTTGACTTCAATACATTTGGCCTAATTTTGTAATGTAGACGTGCCATGAGAGAGCAGTGCCTCCCAGTTTAAATTAATCTCCACCTTCATAGTAGAAAGTGGTATTAGCACAGTGAGATCCTTAGAATAAACACTAGAAAAAAAATTAAAGCTAGTTCAGAGATTGTCTACCTGGGTCTATGCAGACAGTCATGTACTTCAGACATTGGTCTGGTCGAAGCAGCTTCAAAGTATCAAAAGCTTCCCTTCGCCTTTGTTTTTCTAGTACCTCCTGTGCTTTTCTCCTTTCTTTTTCTGTCTTTCTGATTTCCCTTTTAAGTTTCCTTGATTCTGCTCTTGCCTGACAGGCCTTTATATCTGCTGGAATTCTCTTCATTATATTTTGGCTTGGAGAGGATGTAGCTACTTGTTGAGGAGAAGCTGGCTCACTAGCACTCAGACAGCTTTTCAGGTCTTCTTGTACAGCATGATCACAAATGCCATGATCCAGTGTGTCAGCAGTTGGGTTCATCAGGGTAACAGTTTCTGTTTGATGTGATTCAATATCACTGTCTGCATCAGAATCTGAAATTTCCCAGGCAGCAGCTCTTTTGAAAAACCTGTTGATTTTGCCATTGGATTGATTCTTCGACTTTTCCTCCATGGTTTTATTTTTCTCTTCTGCGTTTCTAATTACCATTGTTGCTTAAAAGGCTGCTTAGAAAATGCAGAGTCACTTGATATTCCATGCCAATTTCTAATATATAAAAGCACTAGTACACATTTATTTTTAAAATATTTACCCTTTGTTCAGGTTAGTTTTATTTATTTTAATTGCAAATAAAGTAAGAATCATTAAAAATAGAATTTCCTTTCATGGTTAGTAAAATCTAGCTTAGGACAAACAAGCAGCTCAGCGATAGGATAAAGCTTTCACGTTGAGTCCAGCACTCTCTGAACTCCACACCAGCCGGACCGGCTCTGACAAACTCACCAACTACCAAGCAAGCAACTGGCCTGGCGAGTCATCGGATCCCAGTGTTTCCCCTACCCCCGGAAAAATAGAATTTCCTTTCATGGTTAGTAAAATCTAGCTTAGGACAAACAAGCAGCTCAGCGATAGGATAAAGCTTTCACGTTGAGTCCAGCACTCTCTGAACTCCACACCAGCCGGACCGGCTCTGACAAACTCACCAACTACCAAGCAAGCAACTGGCCTGGCGAGTCATCGGATCCCAGTGTTTCCCCTACCCCCGGAGCGCCCGGCCCGTGCTGGGGTGTCGCGGGGAGGCGAAGGCTGCGCGCTCCTGCC